GTGCATTAACTGTCAGTTATAAAAAAATTAAACTGATTTTTATACACATCCAGGTCTATAAAAATAGCTCTGTAAATAGTGTTACCACCAATATACGTTTTATAAGGTACACAAATTTTGATGTATAAAAATCTCACAAAAAATGTTATGAAGACTTCACCAGAGAAAAAAAAAGAACTAAATGTTCATGAAAAGTCGCCCCATAACACAATTTCACGTACAAAGAATCTCACACACAACTTCACCCTTAATACACTACAACCTTCATGTACATTAAAACTCAGCACACTATAAAAAGTTCACATACATTAAACCTCAAGACTATAGAAGTTCAAGTTCAATCTTACTACCCAACATAAATTTGTATATGTGTGAAGACTTGAACACAATTTCACGTATATAGTTTAGTTTGTGAAAATGTGGTAATAAACCTTTTCTGTATAGTAATAGTATTCAAGACTACTGGTCTCACAGCCCAACTTCAAATCCTTCTTTTAGAAGTCCATGTTTGGTAATTTTTAATTGATCGAAACATATCAATTTAGTATTCAAATTTCCGGTTTGTGGGATGTTCCTACGCATTTCTGAAGAATTAATATTAAACTTTTTGCAAGTTGTAACTTTGTCAATATATTGAAACGTTTGGAGTTTAGTTAATTCTTTCAAATATTTTAAATGTGAAGTTACCATACAGATATGAAAAGATTTAAGAAAAAGACACAGTTATTTCAATAAAAGCTGGAGATGGTCACAACAAATATATCACAAAATATGATAACTGCACGAAGAGGCCTGAAACAAAATTAAGTTTTTTGGCCATGTTTCAGTTGAATAATAACACGACTTATAACTACAGCAAACACCATATACAATCTTTGGCACGTTGCAAAAAACCTTTAGAACGAGTTTTCCTACCATACTAGGTAGGTATGTAAACATAGAAGTGATAAACACTGGTCATACATAATACCATGAGGATTTAATTTTGTATATCAAAACTGAATCAATGCTCATCAAATATCTATGTGGGTTTTGAATCCATTTTACTTAACAATATAGTAATATAAATTAATTAATGTATGTGAATAATGTAATAACATTTTGTCGTGAAAAAGAAAAATCTTTAACACGTATATACAATGTCCTTCAAAACTTCCACACAGTATCATACTATCATGCATACACCAGTCATTACGTCTGAAGTAATTGGGATCTTATTATCATTTCTTTTATGAAAGTTAGTTCATAAACATGAAGAATAATGAATCTTCAAGAGTGTCGTTAAAATACAACTTGATTTGTAAAGAGAAAACATGTTGGACTCTCAGAAACTTGAGTTAACTGTAGTTTGTTTCCCCAGTACTGAGTGAGATTATTCAGTCTATAGTTTTTATGACAGCATGATCTTTTGTATATTCTACTACACGTAAAACTTCATTTATATAATAATGATACTCAGTTTCTATGGAAGTTTTCTACAAACTTCAGACAGAATTAAACAGGAAAAATAGTATATGGGTATACAACTTCATCAATTACTTCAACCTTCATAAATATTAAAAATCATTTAACATTATACGATATCAAGTTTTACATTACAGTTTGGAAAGCTATGAATTAGCCAATAGAATCGGTTTTATAAGTAATATACTTTCCGTGACAGATATTAGAACTGAAATCTTGTTTTGTTAGAACGAACAAATGAATAACTTGAATCTTCCTAACAATTTGACATGTATAGAGCCTCCCTATATCTAGTAACAGACGCGTTCCAATGTGATGTTCCGTTGTCATCCTAACAGTTTGATCAACAGCACCCTAACTAGTAAAATGAAAAATGCTTATTAAAAAATATTATGCACATTATATAAGAGAGAACAAGTGTTTGATGAGCTTAATATTGGAAGAATATTCGGTATCACAGAAGTAACCATGGCAAGATTCATGACGTGTATATTACTAGCATCATTCCTTTACTTAATCACCAAGACGTACAGGGAAACTGTATGCTATGCAATAGTATTTTATTGTGCTCGTCACTATTTTATCATATTAATAGAGTGACAATGACACAATAAAAACACAACTTTCAATTTATTGACAATAACGCACTATTCTGTTAAAGGCAAAACTGTTTAAAGAAATGTTTTGAAATTCTTCATCTGTTTTGTCCCAGTGAATAATCTACGCTCAAAAGTAATGTTATAACGAAGTGGCTGAGATGACGTTCATGCAGTCGTTTAATGCTAAGTTGCAGTTATGAAATGCTGCAGATTTAAAAAGGTAAGGCAACTGTAGCAACTTAATTTTTCACACTTAGATATTTTTACATTTTCTAATGTAAGTGTTAAACACATGCTAATAAAAAATAATGCACTAAATAAGGTTTGGGAATGTCTTACATTTTTTGTTTCAAGTCACGACAAGTGTTTAACATATTTCAACAACTCTTTCTTTATTTCATGGCCAAGATACAGTATAATTGGGTCCACATACGCAAATAAAGGACATCGCCGATAAGTATGAAAAGCAGAAACAAATGTACAATATTACATGCATAATCATGTAGCTTTAGCTAAGCTTACTTATAAAAGGTTGATTTTTATATTTAATTTTATTATCATAATGCATTAAGTTTAGTTCTCCAAAAGTTCTAATCAACATTTTTCTGTGCGATGTTTGTGTGCATATATATATAGACACACTACAACTGAGTTCTTTCTGTCTACTAGTTTTTTGTCATATTTTCACTAAACTTGTAGATTCTCCTGGTACATTTTGCTTTCTCAGTTCTAACACTGCTGATCCTGTTTAAGGAACTTGTACACAATTTGAGTGATTGGGTAAAACGACATCCTTACTATAAATTTATAGGAAAAAATCTTACAGAGCTCAAACAGCTTCAACTGAGGCTATGCTTTACAACTACATATTTTGATCTATTAGATACTACTTTTATACATTATTGTGGTTAGTTTAACCACATTGCCACGCATAGGTACAAATTTGCTTTTTGTTTTCTTTTGAACCAAGTATAGATTGTTTTCCTAAAGGATTTTTGAAATTGAAGCACTTGTTTACTATGCTTCATTAAATCTATTTTATTAGGTTTAAAACTAAGCTTCAACAGTGTTATAGTGGAACTCACTTTGTGATGTTAGAAACAATAAAAATATGAATATTTCTATATTTCCAATGATAAATGAACCATTTCTGTCAGTCCAGTGGATAGACATGATTTAAAACACTAGAAATAAGCATGTAGAAGAAGTATGTAGCCAGACAACACTTAGAATATTCTGTACAGTTTTGGTATCTATATCTAAGAAAGGATATTAACATATTCGAAGTGGTTAAGAGGAGGGCTACTAGGATGATTCTGGAGATAGATGGTTGTTTAATGGTGATAGGTTAAGATCTCTTACACTGGTTTCTCCCGAGAAGACTAAAAGGCATATTACTGAAGTTTACTAGATATTCCAGAGGATGGATATGATAAAGACCTCCAATTTCTTTGTGCTGTATCCTGAAGACAACAGAACAAAAGGTCACTAACATACTTAAGCTCTGAAAAATCAGGCTAGTTCCAGTTAAAACAATTTTATTTTTTTTAACAGGATGATAGCCTTATGGAATTATTTGCCATTAGCAGTAATGAAAGCCAGCACTGAGAAGTAATTTAAGAGGGGAAATTGATAAATTTCTGAAAAATTATGGGTGGAAGTAAAACTTTTATTGTTACTTTTCCTCTGAGGTGGGTACACATGGACAGCCTTGAAGGACCAAATGGCCTTTGCTGTCTTAAGTTGCAACACAAAGACAGCCAATAAATTATTAAACATTAATTATCATCCAGACACCTCCCTTTATTTTCCTTGACTAATCAAAATTAAATTAAATGACATTGAGAAATTAAAATGTTAGGACAATATAAATCTCAAGATAACAAAACCCGTTAGCAATATTTTTAACAAAACCCATTAGCAATACTTTTAACAACACTCATTAGCAATACTTTTAACAGCCATGGGTTAGAAAGTTTACATTTTACACACATAATTTACCAGTTATTTTAACAAAATATTTTTACCACTATTTTTCTAGCTTTGGAGTTAAATCTCAACTCACAAAACCAAAGATCTTCAATAGAACTTGCACTGTGCAATTTACTATTGTATAACATTGAAGTAACATACTTCCAGTACTTACCAGTCATCTCACTCATGATAAATATGCATCCGAGAAAGACTTTAATATTTTTAACTAACATTTATTCAACAAATTCATTTTTGTATTAGTTTTATGTCTGTTTAATATCATATTTCTTCACAAGTCTACTTTAGATTATTTTAAGATCCACATAACTTTGGTGATGATTAAATCATTATTTTTGCTCTGTACACTTTTTTTTTTTAAGTGCTGGATTATTAGAATATGTATAATACAAACATTATTACATTTTATCATATTTAATGGCTGGAAAGAGATCAGATAATTCCATTCTGTCTTTTATACTGTGAGTAATACTGTTAGAAAAAATGTCAACCCCAAATGAAATGTTATAATAGAAAGAATTATTCCACTCAATTATAAGAACAATTTGTCAGATAAAAGTGGTGTGTTCTGTCTGCTTGTCATAGTTCAAGGTTTTGCTATACAACTCACTAAATGACATAGCTTCCATTTAGTTTTTTTTACATAATCAATTACCTTAATTTTGTCTCTAAAGAATTAAATGGGTCATAAGTATCTCACTTAAACTTCTCCATTTGATAATTTTGGTGTTATGAAACTTGCAAATATCCAAGTGTTTACTCATTTTCAAAGAAGTAAATTCAATATAATTTTTCAGTATGATACATTTGGATACATGTTTTCATTTTATTTAACTAAAAACATACAGAATTATATTTTTCCTAAGTGGAAACATTATGCCATGCAGGACAGAGGACAGTAAACTTTGAAAATAAAAATTATTTGAACATTCACTATAAACCAACCTTTAACATTGCTCTTGGTCCAAGACATGTCCGGATGATGTCTGCAATTGCCTAGAAAAAAAAAAAGTCCTTTAATCTTTCCGTAATACATTTAGACATAATTAACCTTACAAAGAGTATGAATTCTTCCTCAGACTTTCTAAGATATTTGTCATATTTATTTCATAAAGTGAATTGTTTCTAAAACTAACATAAGTAACAAGTCACATTAATAAATGTCTATAAATACACCCTGAAATACAAGCCTTCTAAAAATAAAGCACTGCTTCAACAAATAGAATGTCTTATGTATCACTATGCCTATGACTATTTCTTCAATCATGCTATTGATGACATTCTTGTCTATATTAAATATGTGATCCAAATTGTAACAACCAATATTAGAATATTAGAAACAGTGGAATTGACCTAAATCATGTAGATATTGATCTCTTGATGATATGGAAAAAAAAAGACTGGTTAAAAATAAAGCATCAGGACCAAACAGTTTTCTCCAGATTTTAAATTAAATTAAAGATCAAATAAGCAAGCCTCTTTCTTTCATTTGTGGTATGTCAATATACATTGGGCAAGTTCCTGATGATTGGAGAATTGTTAATTATTATCCATCTCTGCTGAGTATAAAAATTGGGGTACAGACATTCTTCACATATGCACAATACATATTAAGCCATACCAATGTGGTAGCTATCCAATATCAAGGAAAAAAAACTATGTGGATGAGTCTCCTCCTAGTATTCCAGAACAAACCAAATTCATATTAAACATTCCCATATATTGAAAATAAAAATATCTTATAGAATAACCCTATATTATTACGAAGTAGTTACTGTAAATAGATGAGCTTGAACAAAATTCACTCCACCACAAAATTCTACAAGTCAAAGATTGTAAATAGAATTTTCAACATTTTGACTTCTTTCCCATAATAATCAAAATATACAGTAATAAAATATCCAGATACTAAGCAGATAATAATGTTGCTGCTGTTTAAGTTTCCCACTCTTTCCTTATTCACACTATTTCCAGTTTATCCTAGGGTTAGAATAAGCACTTAAGCCTGAATTAAAGAAATACTTCATAATTAAAATATTTTTTAGAATATTTCTTACTTTTTGATGTAAAATACAATTTCCATAGAAACAAAATTCAAAATTATTATTAAATTTCATGTATTAAATGTACCAAATTTAGACATTAGATATTTTAACCACATCTCTACTATGAAATGGGCTACTTTGAACAAGTAATGCAACTGTTTGCCATTTCTACCAAGTTTCTTGACTCAACTGCTACACCTCCTCATTTCTGATCCACTTTGTTTTACAACAGTTTTCTTGTAAAATGAATGCTACTGAAAATCTTCACAGAGATGTTGCCCATTTTTGCAAATTTGTGCATGTTTTCTGCATTTTCAAGAGTAAAAAAGATGGAAGAGTGCAGTCTCCTTAAAATAACCTGCAAAACTTTTAATGTAAGACATTTAACATAAAGAAATCCAATTAGACTGAGAGTTCACTTCTACTTGTAGACTTTCACTGGATCTGTTGGGCCTGCCCTTAGGGCAGAGCTGGGTATGCAATTTGCCACTAACAAAGTTAGTCAAATTGCACATCTGCAACAATTAATAAGAATTTCTGAGGAGAAATGAAGAAGAGTGTATAATCATGCCAACCACATTATATCTGCATTAAGAAAAACCCTGGTATTAGGCAAAAGGCATTAGCCTTTCCAAGCTGGCTGGGATATGACATAGCAGTGGTTGGTGTTACCCCTATTTTTAATGGAGGTGACAAGAGTTGCCCTGTAAATTATAAATAAGTTAATCTTATTTCTTAATGGGAAAAATTGTACAGTCTGGTAAAAAAAGCTTTGCAGAATCATTCTAGAGAAATACATCATAAATTAAAATAAACAAAGATCCACTAAAATGAAATCTTCCTTCAATAGCCTAAGCTTTTTTTTTTGAGGATGTTACAAGTTATGCCAATGAAGAAACGGCTACAGAATTAATGTACTTAGATTCTGAAAAAGTTTTTGATAAACTGAAAGGGTTATCCTATGGAAATAAGCTTAATAACAGGAGATTAGGTAAAGATACTGGTTATGAAGTAATGCTAAATCTTTAGACAAGTGAGTGATGATAATGAATTAAACAACAAGACTGGAGAAATAAAAACAAAATGAAAAAGTTGTTACAAAAATGTAAAACACAAACACGTGTTCATTTAAGGCCTGTTGCTTTTACTGAGTCGCTCTTTAAAGCTGCTTACTCCTTAAGATCATGTTCCAGCCTGTTTAAACCTAATGTTCCTTAATTTTCAAAAAAAAACCACATTTACCCAGTAAACAGTGCTACTCACATAACTGATCATTCTTATTTCAACAAATGTAAGGCTGTAACTTTTAGATACCACCTGAGTGACCAATGAAGAACATTGCTGTAAAAATCCTTGCACAACATGCAGTAATGTTACCCATGCCATCACGGTTTTTATGGCTAAAGTCACCTGAACGAAATTTGCTGAACCATCGTTGATGCTTACGAAGTTTATTTCCATAAACTTCTTTGATATTCTTTGTGGCTAGAGAGGTGTTATTTCCTTTCTTGTATTCAAACAGCATTACATGCTGAATGTGTCTCGTCATGTGTCGTCACTAAGGGATTAGAGTATACTAAACTTTACACACTATACAGGCTACACTAACGTGACGTTTAGGCGGTTTGTTCAACTATTATACATGATGTACATTTTTGGGGGGTGGTGGTTAATGAAAGTGTTCCAAAACATGACATTCATTTCTTGATGACCTAATAAGACACAAACCTTATGTCATGTGCAGTAAAGGATACCCGTGGTTATATGGTTAAGTGCAATATTTCTTACTTCACAAGAAATGTTACAATTACTCAAGAGTAACTAATACTACCCACATCATTGGTTATTTTCATACCAATAAAGGTGAAGCTGTAGCCTTTAGAAATCTGCTGAACAACTACTGAAGAACAATGCTATCAAAAAATAGTTGCACCATGTGTAGCATTGCAGTAATAGTCCCCTGGACAGGTTAACAAAGGTACAACAGCAACTAGAATATCACCTCTACGATTTTTTTTAAGGACATTATGTGAAATTTACAGATATACAGAATAATGCTATAACAAGACAGAAATACGTTATATTCATGTACCACATCCATACATTATATACAGTATTTAATTAACTATTTTTTAAATAAATCCATAAAAAATTGACAAAACTTACTGAATAGTTAACTAATTTCTGACCTGTCAGTTGATCATCTTAAACTTGTTTAAAAGTCCATTTTAAAATAATATCACTTAATATTAAGCTTTATTTCAGCTATCTTTATATCATTTTGTTACTTTTATTTACCATCAGCCGAGGCTAACTTTAAACAAGTTAATCGAAAATATTTAGATCATTATTCATAGCATTGAAATATAAAATAATTTGTTTTTCAATATTCATTTATTTATTTTTTAACACTTATAGAACAAATTAATATTACATATCTATATAAGGGATCTTGGTGTAGTCTTACAAAAAAAAAGGTTTAAAGTGACTGCCTTTGTTTTGATACTGTTGCAAACTTCCACCTGTACACAGGTCAGAATAGAAGTATAAGCCTTTCAGATGTTAAGTAATTGATTGTGGACTGATGAAGGATCTGATGCACTGAACCAATTAGTGAAACAATTGAGTAGGCAAATAAGACAAAATAAGGAGGTGTAATGTGTACAGAAATAAAACTTAAGCCTTTTGGACAGACATCATTGTAGACTGTGCCCACTGTGTTTAAGACATTTTGTAAAATACCAAAAGTGAGCAAACCTATTGTGTTTTTCAGACATCTCAGTGTACTGGTATGGCACTAAAATTACTAATACATTGAAACAGCAATGCTATAGATGACTGTTTTTTTTTTTGTTATTTTTCCACACTGAAGCAAAGAACCTCAAAGGAGAAGTATTGTTGAAAGGAATAGTTCACTCAAAGTAGTCCCCTGTATGCATTATTTAAATTTAAAGAAAAAAATACAATAAGGTATCAGATATAAGTCTTAAAGTTATAGAAAGTACCAATTGGTCCCCATATCTGAATGTTAATAAAGGCTGTACACCTAAAAATATGTTCAGGATTATATGTTAATATAAAAAAATATTCAGAGTAGCCCCAGTTGACAGTATTTGTTTTATATATATATACACATGTATATATAAACAGGTTGGAGTTAATGAATTTATTATTGTCAGTAATATACACATTTAGCTCTTATAATTTTAGATGGTAAAGTACAACCTATTTACATTCAACAATTTCAAGCATAAGTTATGCCAATTAGAGCCAACAATACTGTCTTGGTGTATAGCTATATGATTTTAGTACATAAAAACATTAACAGTAATAATAGTTTGTGAAAAACATTTAATGCAACTTTTTTGAAAAAATGAGAAAGGAAGGAATTACTTTATACACTAGTTCTTGTGTATGCAGCTTTCATCTAGTTATATATGAAATATTGCAACATCAACAAAAGATAGTAAAACTCAATATCTGTAACTGTACTATATATCTATGATTAACACATATCATACTATTTATTCATGTTTGAAAAATGTTGAAAATAAACAGTCACCACAAACTGGATGGTGCTGAGGATTATTATTTCTTTAAATACTCTGACTCGGTTGTAAGTCTGCTATGCCAAATATCTATACAAATTTATGAAAGCTGAGTTAACAATCTACAAAATTTCAGAAATAATTCATTAGAGTAAATCGGTAAAAACTTATTCAAAAGAGAAAGACAAACAACCCTACCTACTACAACTATAATGTGATGACGGGGTTAATGTGTTATTAAAATATTATACTCTGTCTCGATGTTACTATGTTCTATAGTGTTACTGTTAGGCCTAAGTTAAGTCATGACTCACCAGTACGGCAGTCGTATTTTACACCTGTTTTAATTACAGAGCATATACAAATTATTTTCAAATTCAAATACGCTGAAAATGTCATAAAGGTATCAGTTTTTAAAAAAATATTTAAATCTGATTCAGCCACTTAATGATTTAAGTTTAGATCTACTGCATATGTGAATAGCAAAATGAGACTCGAATTTATAGAGAATCGAGAATGTTCGGTCGACTTACCTTCGCCGCCTGCACATTTTCTAGTTGTACCTTCCTACCGCTCTCTCGCTTAGTATTTTGACCTAAAAGTTAATAAAACGGGATAGTTAACTGATTTCACATAAATATCTAAATGAAAGCAACAGCGTTAAATACAAAATATACCTACTTAATACTAAAATTGGCCCAGATCCTCGTCCAAACATTTTTAACTCAGAGCGTAACTGTTCTGAAATACAAAGATCCTGCCTTTTAGAGTTGAAGCTTGGCAATGAGGTGTAACCACGAGGACAATGAGTATCGACGCCCCCTGTTATTACTTTTTAAAACCTTGAAATGAAAGACGTTTCAAATACAATAAGTGTAGTTGTCATCATTAACATAAGATAGGAAACATTATTATCACACAAGTTAAGAAATTAAAAAGACAGATTTAATGAATTCAAATCTTCCGGTTTCGTGACTAGATATTTATGGCAAAGTAATTTAAATTTATTTTTGCATATTTAAGTTTTTAATTTTGTCGTTTTCGTAAACGAATGGTAGATGAAAGAGTCATTTCTCCTTATCTTTCCTGTTCCCTGGCGATTCAGCTGTAAATTCAAGGGCTAATAATGCTAGAAATCCGGTTTTGATACACGCGATGAGCACAGCACAGATAACTCATTGTGTAGCTTTCTACTTACAACAAACAAACTTTATCTTATTTAGATATGTTAATTTTCTAGAAATCTTGATGACAAATTTTCGCAAGTTTTTCTCTTCAAGTGTGGTTTTATATAAGATATTCAATAGGCCAGCGCCCAAAAATATTGCTAGCGATAGATATTGTCAACTTTAGATGCATATTTCATACAGGGAGATTCTCTTTTAAGGGACTCTGCTTAGCACAAAATCACAAGGTAAAGGCATAATTATAATTATGGCCTTTACTTTTCTTTTTATCTAGTGTAAAACCTTGAGGGGCTGTATTCTTCTCTTCGTCCTCACTTGCTCTTTCATCGTCACTATTTTTTTTTCTTTTTGCTTGTTCCGACCTTACTAGGATTCACAGCCATATTTGTGAAGTTTAGCTCTTCTTTTTCAGTTCAGGATATTGCCTTTTATCTGTTACCACTGCGCAAGTTCTCATCTCGAAGAAGGTGCACTTTAATCAGTTTAGCTGTTCAGTCTATTGTAAGACTTTTTGATTATTATTTTTACGAACGTAGATTGGCTGTGTTGTAGATCTGTGGATTTTGGAGCAAGTGAACAGGGTTCGAATTCGTGCGATACCACAATATATCCCATGCTCTTAAAATTATAGGTGCGTTATAAGAGTGACAGTCAAACCCTTAGCATTGGTGATGAGTGGTAGGACATTGATGGCTGATTACCTTATCTCTGGTCGGTAGCTCAAAATTAGGGATAGGGACAGATAACCTTAGTAAATTTGCCATAAATACAATTTATAATATTTTTCTTTAATTAATGTTCCCAGATGGATCAGCGATAATATTCATGGTTACAACCCTAAAATCTGGAGTTCGATTTCCTGTGGTGAATAGAGCAGATAGCTTGTTATAGCTTACTTTATAGCTTTGCGCTAAAACAAACAAGCAAGCAAACTTTACGTTACTGAATGCCTTTCAAATTTGTTCGCAAGCAGCTGCAATAGGAGAAAAGCTGCTAGACTCTTGTATAACAATTTTGGACAACTGCCAAACCATACAATATCCTTTCCACCATTTTGTTAAAAGTGCGATGATGCTAGATGGTCAATAATTTGTGATAGTGTTGTTCAGGTTTCCAAAAGAAAGGTTTTGTTTGCAAAAAGTGTGTGTGGCACTCTAATATTAAGAATCTGTCCTAGTAACATTATAGTCGATGTAGAGAGGAATACAATAATGTAATCCATTAAAGTTTTGAATTCCTTTATTATGTACATATATCAATACAAGCAACTACTCTACAAATTATCTTGATTCTCGAATACACAACTTGCTTAAAAAGATAAAATGGAAACTAGGTTGCAAAATTCAGAGTGTTTAAGTAACTTAAAATGAAACCTTCTATACATTTTTTTTTAGAATTGAAAAGTCGAGCCACTATGTAGAACAAGATAGTAAAATGCTATATCATTGTATCTCTAATTATAAACAAGATTACGACTCTTATGATATACAACATTGTTTATTGACAAAAAAGGGACATGGATAAACGTTTCGAAATTCTATACAGATTCCATCTTCA